CGTGGCATCCCAGAGTGGTGGGGTGAGGTGTCCTCACTCCTGCTGCCAGGGAATTGTGGCATCCCAGAGTGGTTTTGGTGGGAAGGGACCTCAAAGCTCATCCAGTGGCACCCCTGCCATGGCAGGGACACCTCCCACTGTCCCAGGCTGCTCCCAGCCCTGTCCAGCCTGGCCTTGGGCACTGCCAGGGATCCAGGGGCAGCCACAGCTGCTCTGGGCACCCTGTGCCCACCCTCCCAGGGAAGTACTTCCTACGAATACCTGATCTATCCCTGCCCTCTGCCAGTGGAAGCCATTCCCTGTGTCCTGGCACTCCAGTCCTTTCAAACTCTCTCTGTCTCATTTTCTTGCAGGCTCCCTTCAGGTTCTGGAATGCCACAGTAAGATCACCCCAAGCTTGAACAATCCCATTTCTCTCATCCTTCCCTCACAGCAGAGCTGTTCCATCCCGCTCAGTTTCATTTCCATGGCAGGCTTTCTGCATCACCCAAGAGGGAAAAGCTCTTCCCAGTGGAGCCCCCCGAATTCTGCTCTCACTGTGCACAACCCGGGGTACACTCACACATGAGCTGAAGTGCAATCTGTGCAGCTTCCCAAACCAGACATGCAATTTATCCAACAAGTTCAGGTTAAAAGCCAATATTTCTCAGTATATAGAGCCCCTCCCCAGCTTTGCTCAGCCCTGCAGCTCGGGCCTTCCCTCCCTGATGCTGGGTTACAAACACAGCCGCTGGTAAATACACACGTTCCAGGGTTAGGACGGAATGATCTTTAAGGTCCTTTCCATTCCACGGTTCACCAGAGCCAGGTGTAGCTCCTGGACAGCAAACGCTCCCACCCCACGCTGTTCCCTGAGGTGAGCACACCGTGATGTTCCACAGTGCTCAGGAACACGGAGGACACACTCCCAAAAAACCTGCGGGAAGAAACCTCCCTTTTAATTAAGCCTGTCTGACATATTCCATAATTTCAATAAAAACGCGTTCTGCTTGGAGGGAGCACCTGACCCAGAAGAACTGGAAATGGGGTGATTCTTCGGAACCACTTCACTGACAAACCAAAATAAAGGCCTGAGGAAAGTGCAAACTTGTGACAAGTGAAGGGGGTAGGAGTGGAATTTCCACTTCCAATAGGCTTTGGACACACCTTTACCTAAAACACACACAGAGCTTCAACAACATCAATTCAAATTCAAATTACCGAGGACGTTATCAACCACTTGACATTTTCCAGCACGGCCCCGCTCGGCTTCCTGCGGCGGATTTCTTTTAACCGGTACAGGCACCACATCCGCTCTGCTCCCGTCCAGAGCAGCTCCAGGCAATTACCACATCACCATCAAAACCGAAACTTTTTGTTCCTTTAAAGAGTCACTAAGTGAGGGAACAAAAGCTGAGCAACTCACACTTCTTCCTCTTAGATAAACTCAAGTTTTTAGGAGAGGCGGCGATAAAAGCTTCCTGAGCACTGAAGGTTTTGTCACTGACCGCAGGTGATGGGCAGCTGCCCCATGCCCTTCTGATGCTGGAGTGCAGAAAATAGGAAGAAAAGCAACTTCAGCCTCTGTTAGGATGAAGAGTGACAGGCTCCTCGCCTCTCCAGGGATGTTTGTCTCAGGTGAATTCCCAGCACTGGGACCCACCCAGCCGAGCTCTCCTCCCTGAGCTGCTGCTTCCCCACACAGCGGGGAAAGGCCCAGCAGGGAAGATCAGGGCTGTATTTTCTGTGTGCCTGTACTATAAATTTCCTGTGTTTTCTGTATTCCTGCCGGCTCCCACATGTGGCTTTGTGTCCCCAGGGATCACAGCGGGGCTGGGAGCCGGCACAGGAGCGTCCCGAGCACTGTGGGCACTCAGGGCACCCCAGAATTCCAAATCACCTCACGGAGCATCCCAAAGCCACCTCTCTGAGCCTTCCCACCTCTCAAGACACTTCATGGAGCATTCCCACCTCTCAGGTCACTCCATGAGGCATTCCCACCTCTCAGGTCACTCCATGTGGCATTCCCACCTCTCAGGTCACTCCATGAGGCATTCCCACCTCTCAGGTCACCTCAGAGCACCCCCAAACACTCAGGTCACCTCATGGAGCATCCCCGATCCCTCAGGTCACCTCACAGAGCTTTCGCAACTCCCAGGTCACCTCAGAGCATCCCAAACTCCCAGCTCACCTCGTGGAGCGTCCCAAACTCTCAGGACATCTCAGAGCACCCCAAACTCTCAGTCACCCCAGAGGATCCCAGGTTCTCAGCCAGGACCCCTCACGGCCCCTCACGATGGGTTCCCGGGCAGCGCAGGGGAAGGGACATCCCTTCTCCTCAGAGCACCTCCTGCCCCCTCCACCCCACCCTGTGTTCATTTTACCAAAACCACCAAGAATTTCCCCCCCTCGCTGTCCGCACGCCCACCCACAAACGGGACACCACCAGAAGCATTTGCCGGGAGGGTGAGCCCCACAGCGAGCCCCCCGCGGCGGGCGGGCACCCCCCACGCCCCGGGAGTGGCTGGGGACGCCCAGAGGGGCTGCGTGGAGCCGGGAGCCCCGTCCCGCCCTCAGCCCCGGCCGGGCCGGCCTTTAGGACCGCGCGTTACCTCCGGGCCCGGCGGGAGCGCGCGCGGCCCCTCAGCAGCGCCCGCGCGCCGCCGGGCGGCGGCTTTAACGGCGCTCGCGCGGGGGGCGTGGCCAGCACCCCTCTGCGCCGCCCACTCCGTGCTTTTGAAACACCCTATTGGGTAAGATGGTGGTGGGCAGAGGTGAAGCCACGCCCCCTGTGCTGGGGAGAGACGCATCGCCGCGCGATTGGAGGAGGCGGCTGTCAATAACGCCGAGACCACGCCCCCTCCCCGGCGCGGGTTACCCGCGGTCAGTGACCGGCGCGGCGTCCGGGACACCGGGAATGGGCTGTGTCCAACACCGGGAATGGGCTGTGTCCAACACCGGGAATGGGCTGTGCCCAACACCGGGAATGGGCTGTGCCCAACACCGGGAATGGGCTGTGCCCAACACCGGGAATGGGCTGTGTCCAACACCGGGATCGGGCTGTGCCCAACACCGGGAATGGGCTGTGTCGGACACCGGGAATGGGCTGTGCCCAACACCGGGATCGGGCTGTGTCCAACACCGGGAATGGGCTGTGCCGGACACCGGGAATGGGCTGTGCCCAACACCGGGAATGGGCTGTGTCCAACACCGGGAATGGGCTGTGTCCAACACCGGGATCGGGCTGTGCCCAACACCGGGATCGGGCTGTGTCCAACACAAGGAATGGGCTGTGCCGGACACCGGGATCGGGCTGTGCCCAACACCGGGAATGGGCTGTGTCCAACACCGGGATCGGGCTGTGCCCAACACCGGGATCGGGCTGTGCCGGACACAGGGAATGGGCTGTGCCCAACACAAGGAATGGGCTGTTCCACCAGGAATGGGCTCTGCCGGACACCTGGACCATCTGGGGTGCTATGCTGGTGTGGGACGATCCAGCAGAAGTTTTTGGAGAAGAGAGGAAAACTTTGAATCCTCCTGAAAGCTGTTTTCCCCCAAAATAAGGGCAAGATTCAATAGGACAAGAGGAAACGGCCTCCAGCTGCGCCAGGGGACGTTTATGTTGGACATCAGGGGAAAATTCTTCATGGAAAAGGTTGCAAATCATTGGAATGGGCTGTGGTGGAGTCACAGTCCCTGGAGAAATTAAAAAAACACATGGATGTGCCACTTGGGAACATGGTTTAGTGGTGACCACAGGCTGAGAGTTGGCTTTGATGGTCTTAGAGCTCCTTTCCAGCCTTAATGATTCTGTGGAAAAGATTTTCAGGGGAAAATTTAGGTCCCTTTGACCAAATGAAACAGGAGATGGTTCATGAAGAAGCTGTTGGGCCATTCTGGACAGGGCGAGATGTAAAATGTGCTCTAACCACAGCTGGGGAGAACAGTCCAACCTGGAGCAGAAATCTCTGGAGAAGAATCAAGGTGGGCTTTTGGATTTAGGGGTCCAGGGAGGAGCAGAGTGGGGCTGGCAGAGCACAGCCCTGAACAAACCAGCCCCATTCTGCTTTCACAGAATTCCAGAATCACTGGGGTGGAAGAGACTTCAAGATCGAGTCCCGCCCAGCCCCAACAGCTCAACTCAACCCTGGCACCCAGTGCCACATCCAGGCTTTGTTAAACACCCCCAGGGATGGGGACTGCACCCCCTCCCTGGGCAGAACATTCCAGAACTTTATCACCCGTTCTGGAAAAAAATGAAAGAATGATAATTTTTTCCTAATATCCAACCTATATTTTTTCCTAATATCCTAATTAGGTTTTTCCTAATATCTTACCTATAGGGTAGGATCTCACCAACTTCCTAATATCCAACCTATACCTTTTTTTCCCTAATATCCAACCTATATATTTTTTCCTTATATCCAACCTAAATTTCCCTTGGCACAGCTTGAGGCTGTGTCCTGTGGTTCTGTCAGTTCCTGCAGAAAGAGCCCAGCCCCAGCTGAGCACAGGCACCTTCCAGGAGCTGTGCAGAGTGATGAGGTCACTCCTGAGTCTCCTTTTCTCCAGGCTGAGCACCCCCAGCTCCCTCAGCTGCTCCTCACAGGGTTGGTGTTCCAAAAATCTTGTCTTCCAGCCAGCCCAAGCCAAGGGCTCAGCTAAGCAGCACCAGCAGCACAAATCCTGCCCGTGATGTCCAGGCCCCCTTCATTATCAGAACCTGTGGTCTGGGGGCAGCTCCACCATCCCTGCCCTCCCTGGATCTTGTTTGTTTAAGCTGGAGGCCAACAGGGCATGTTGATTTGAGCACCCCCAGCTCCCTCAGCTGTTCCTCACAGGGTTGGTGTTCCAAAAAGCCTTTTTTCCAACCAGCCCAAGCCAAGGGCTCAGCTAAGCAGCACCAGCAGCACAAATCCTGCCCGTGATGTCCAGGCCCCCTTCATTATCAGAACCTGTGGTCTGGGGGCAGCTCCACCATCCCTGCCCTCCCTGGCTCTTGTTTGTTTAAGCTGGAGTCCAACAGTGCATATTGATTTATTTATTGCTGTATTTTTAAGGGTTATGGTCAGGTGGATCCATGTAGCTGTTCTCAGTTGTTCCTGGCTGATAAAGCTGCAGAAAAGCCAGGATTTATTCATCCTGTTAGGAAAACAGCTGTAGCTGTGAAATGAATTATTCCTGGTGCAGACCAAGAATCCCAAGGCATTGTTTTTTTCCCTGTGAATTCTTCCCTGCCTCCTCCCACTGCCCAGAGCCATTCCCCACTCACCCAGGGAGGGGAGGGCTTGGCTGATGAGCAAACCAAGGAATTTGCAATTGGTGCAGCTCCTGCCAGAAGGTCGGGCTGCAGCTGGAGCAGCAGCAGGGCCGGGGGACAGAGCAGTGCTGGGGACACTGCAGCTGTAACACAGCTGGAGCAGAGCAGGACAGCGGGGCCAAGGCACCTCGGGAGCCCCGAGCTGGCCCCTGGCCCAGGCACCTCCAGCTCTGGCTGTGTTGGCTGCTCTCCTGCAGCCTGAGCCTTCCCTTGCAGCTCCTCAGCCTTCCCACCTCTCCCCCGCTCTGCCACCTCTCTGCAGCCCCTCCAAGGTGGCTCCATTCTCACTCAGATGGTGAATTTATCTTGAAAAAAAATTTTTAAAAATATATTATAATTATATATATAATCTATTACTATAATATATTTAAATAAATACTAAATATTTCTAATATAATATAATATAATATAATATATAGACAAACCAGCAATATAACATAATATAATTAATACAGACAGAACAGCAGCCTGGAAGTTGGTGAGATCTGTACAATTCAGATTCCTGACCCTCAGACTCCAGCCTGCCCTGGTCCCCAGCCAGGCCGGGCTGTGCTGACAGGGGGAATGCAATTCCCAGTGAAGCACGGAGAGCTCGGGGGCACAGCCCAAAGGTTAACCCGAGGGGCAGAGTCACCAGATCTATTTCTGGCCATTCCCTGAGGCAGCAGATGGCCTGGGGTGAGCTGCTTTTTATGGCTGCCCGGTCCTTGTCCATCACGGCGAGGTTGCACCACTCCCGAGGTAAACCCTGCGCTGTTTGCTGATCCCCGCTGGTGCTGGGGAGCGGAGATGGGCACAGGTGCCCCTCGGGCACCCCTGGCCGGGCAGGAGAGGGGCTGAGAGCTCAGAGCTGCTATCGATTGCTGATAACGCAGCACAGCCCTGATCAAACCAGCAGGGAGCTGTGAGCCTGGAATGGCAAACGCACCCGAGCGGCCCCTGGTCACACAGCGCCTTGGCTGGCTCTGTGCTGCCAGGATTAACCCCTGAGCAGCCACAGGGCTCCTTGGCTGGCTCTGTGCTGCCAGGATTAACCCCTGAGCAGCCACAGGGCTCCTTGGCTGGCTCTGTGCTGCCAGGATTAACCCCTCTGGAGCCACAGGGCTCCTTGGCTGGCTCTGTGCAGGGTTAACCCCTGAGCAGCCACAGGGCTCCTTGGCTGGCTCTGTGCTGCCAGGATTAATCCCTGTGGATTAACCCTTGAGCAGCCACAGGGCTCCTTGGCTGGCTCTGTGCTGGATTAACCCTTGAGCAGCCACAGGGCTCCTTGGCTCTGTGCTGCCAGGATTAACCCCTGAGCAGCCACAGGGCTCCTTGGCTGGCTCTGTGCTGCCAGGATTAACCCCTGAGCAGCCACAGGGCTCCTTGGCTGCCTCTGTGCTGCCAGGATTAACCCCTGAGCAGCCACAGGGCTCCTTGGCTGGCTCTGTGCAGGATTAACCCCTGTGGTGCCACAGGGCTCCTTGGCTGGCTCTGTGCTGCCAGGATTAACCCCTGTGGTGCCACAGGGCTCCTTGGCTGGCTCGGTGCACCATGCACCAATAATCCAGCCTAACGCTGAAAACAGCTCCAAAAAGGCAAAATCAAAGGGTAGATTGAGATGAAATACAGGGAGGAAATTGTTTCTTGTGAGAACAGTGAGGCCCTGGCACGGGTTTCCCAGAGGAATTGTGGATTCCTCATGCCTGGAAGGGTCCAAGGCCAGGTTGGAGCCACCTGCACCTGTGAAGGTGTCCCTGCCCATGGCATGGAAGGAGCTGGTCCTTAAGGTTTGCCAGGATTAACCCCTGTGCTGCCACAGGGCTCCTTGGCTGGCTCTGTGCTTGCCAGGATTAACCCCTGAGCAGCCACAGGGCTCCTTGGCTGGCTCTGTGTTTCCAGGATTAACCCCTGAGCAGCCACAGGGCTCCTTGGCTGGCTCTGTGCTGCCAGGATTAACCCCTGTGGTGCCACAGGGCTCCTTGGCTGGCTCTGTGTTTCCAGGATTAACCCCTGTGCAGCCACAGGGCTCTTGTTTTCTGAGGACCAGGAGCAGGGTGGCCCCAGCAGCTCCAGGAAAGGGAAAGAACCAACGCCAGGAGAGGCTGGGGGTGAGCCAGTGGAGGGAAACTGCAGAGAAACCCCTGGGAGGGAATTACAGCCCTGGAGGGACAGTGGGACCCTGGGGGCATTGGGAAGAGTGTGGCCAGCAGGGCAGGAGTGATCCTGCCCTTGGTCCCAGTGAGGCACACCTGGAGCAGTGGCCAGTCCTGGCTCCATGGTTCAAGAAAGACAAGGAGCTGCTGGAGAGGGTCCAGTGAAAGATGATGAGGAGTCTGGAGCATCTCTGTGATGAGGAGAGATTGTGGGAGCTGGGTCTGGTTAGTCCAGAGAAGAGAGGGTTGAGAGAGGATTCACAGAATTCACAGAATCACAGAATCACTGGGGTGGAAGAGACCTTCAGGATCATCGAGTCCAACCCAGCCCCAACCCCTCAACTCAACCCTGGCACCCAGTGCCACATCCAGGCTTTGTTAAACACCCCCAGGGATGGTGACTGCACCCCCTCCCCGGGCAGCCATTCCAGAACTTTATCACCCTTGCTGGAAAAAACTTTTTCCTGATATCCAACCTGAATTTCCCTTGGTGCAGCTTGAGAGGATCCCATAAATTCTATATAAATATATAAATATCTCCAAGAGGGATCCAGGTGGCCAGTGACAGTAATGGGCCCAAACTGAAACACAAGACAAACCCCTCAACATGAAGAAAAACTTCTTTACATTGAGGGTGACCGAGCTGCCCAGGGGGGATTTGGAGTCTCCTTCTCTGGAGACATCCCAAACCCACCTGGATATGCTCCTGTGTCACCTCCAGGTCATTTGGGGTATTGTGGTGTTTATGGGATATGGTTTTGTCTCCAGAAAGTAATGTTAACACAAATGAAAATGTGTAGAAAAAGTAGACTGAATAAGGAGTGCAACAGGGAGGAGGTAAGATAGGAAACAGAGTTTATTGTATAGACCTAGAGTAGCAGTTATCTCTGTCTCTTGCTATCTGTATTATTTTCTTCTCCTGCTTTGGTGAAAAAATGCTGCAAAATAATAGAATATCTCATTAAATCCTATGTCATGTATTTTTATTCCCTCATGCAATGCAAAACTTAAACTATGACAATAGAGTGGAATATTTAATTATCTCCATGTACCTAAATAAGACACTACAGAAACGAATTTCTTTTCTCATTACTTTATATGGGTTTGAATCTGAATTTATTATATAAAAAGCACTTAATTAAAAGTCTTTCTTTCCCAGGTGAGCCAGCCTTGGCTGGATTGTCACTCCTTGTGACACGAGATCAGGAGAGAGGAGGTGGCTGCAGGTTCAGCAGCCTCGAGCTCTGCTGATAACACAGGCTCAACCTGGAGGGGAAGACCAAAACCTCCAACAATTTGTTCCTGCTGGGAAATCTGCAGTGAGAACACACAGAAAGCCCTCAGCTGCTGATCCTGGGTGAGTTACAGCAGTGCCTGGGCTGGCTGTGCTGGGATGTTACAGATTTTTACCTCTGTGATTAAAGTCAGTTATTCCAAAGTGTATTCACACTCCTGGAGGGTTTATAAAATGGGGAGATGTGGCACTTAGGGACATGTGGGGTCTGGCAGTGTTAGATGACCTGCTTTGGTGATTTAAGGGTCTTTTCTAACTTAAATAATTCCATGATGTTTCATGTTTCTGCCTCACCTTGACATTTGCAGGTATTTCACGTGACAAAGGCAGGGGGAGATGCCAGCAGGGACAGAGCTGTCCCTCACAAGAGAAGTGTTGGATTATGCTCTTTTCTGACTTAGAGATGGCGTAACTGAGAGGTGTTTTAAAAACTTTTATTCCATTTCCAGTCTCATGTGAGAGTGAGACAATATAAATATTATAATTCACATTATGTTATATATATATTCACGTATATATTATAATTCAGAATTTCTAATTCTATTTCTCTCTCAACAATGATTGTCTTATTCTATAACATTTCTAAGTGAACATTTCTTACCTCAAAGTTTACATACTATGTAAACCTTCTATTAAGCTTTAAAAATTCTCTACAAATTCATTTCCCACCAAGAAGAACATCAGGATAAGAGCAAAGGCCCAGGATAAATTCAGATTTATCTGGGGCTGTGGGACTCTGGATTTGTGCATGTCACACCACATCACTGAGGGCAGGAACTCTGGTGCATGGGTTTGGTAGTGAGACATGGGCTGGCTGCTGCTTCTTCACCTCAGCCACAGATTTCCTGTGCCCTACAGAACACCAGCCCAGTGAAATTTCCATTTGCAGCTTCTTTCCTTTCCTACCTCAAGCAAAGCATCATCTCTTCGTGCAGCTGTGGACACAGAGAGTGGAAATTTCTTCTTCAGCTGAGCAGAACCAGCCCTGCCTGCCCATCTGAATTACCCAACGCAGGTTACATAATTTTCACTTTTATCACCAGCCCTGGCACTGGATCTGGGAGCTATTCTGGGCTCTGATAACACTCCCAAATTCCCAGCTCCAGAGTGGCGAGTGACTCAACCCAAGCTGCTGCACCTCAGGACATTGACTTGGAAGATAACGGGGCATGGAGGGCAATAAAATATTTCAGCAATTTCCACTTGAAGCTGGACACGAGGAGAAGATGGATGTGATGAGGAAGCAGGCTGGAAACCACGTGGGCACAGGCAGGAAGGCAGACAGAAGAGTCTCTTTATACCTGAGTCATTTCCACACTTAAACTGCTCATGGTGTCTTTCCCATCAAGGACTTGCAACATCTTTTGTGGTCTGTGAAATGGTCTACAGCAAATAGGTGTGGGAAATACTGGAAAAACCCCAAAAAACCACAGCCCAAAAGCACCCAAACACAACAAAATGACACACACACTAAAATCCCCACCAAATTATGCTCTGGATTAATATCCAACTCCCAACTGTCATAAATCAGCAAAGCCGAGGATTCATCACCAGGACACAGCAGCTGATAAATGACCTTTATCTGCCTCTATGATTAAACGACTCTTCTGCAATTCTCATCAATAAAACAGGACAAAAACTATTTACCCTGGCCTGTCATGGGCATAAATTCCTTTCTAATTTTTTTTTAACTCATTAAAAACTGCACACTCATGGATTTTGAAACAACACAGGGCGGGCAAAGGCTGTTTATGCAATATGCAAAGTGTAGTGTGTGAAATACATATTTATGAAACCTGAAAAACAGTGGAGAATTAGGATTTCTTGGCTGTATAATGACTTAGTTTGTTGTTAGAGATCACCTCACTTCAGAGGACATGCCTATATCCTCTCAACAATAAACTTAAATCCAAACTTCAATGCTATTCATGCCTGCAGGTTATCCCAGTTTGGGAAAAGAATTTGCTAGAAGGCCATTTTGCTCTAAAATGAGGTGGATACAGAAATTGCATGGAGAAAAAAAGTCCAATTGCACCTCCAGAACTTCAGCAAAAATAGAATTCTGTCTTTTCTCTGGCTGCTGGAGCAATGGGCTGCTCCCCCTGCCCAAGCCAAGGGACTTTGTGGCAGTGGTGTGCCAATGCTTGCCAGCAGAACCAGGCTGTGCCCTGGCTGCCCTCCCCTCTGAAGCAATTATTATCACTGCTTTTAATGAAGGGATAGGACCACAGTCAGGCTAAAAACGATTTATTGTTCAAATAGACATCAGTCTCGGAGGCTGTGAGATTTTAGAGGAGCAAGCAGTGGGCCATAGCTCAAAATGATCACAAGTTCTTTGTTACAAGACAATATAGAACTTTCTAATCCAATGGACAGTTGCCACAAAGTTTTTATTTTTAAAATATAGGGGGGTTTTTTGTTTGTTGTTGTTTGTTTGTTCTTTTTTTTTTAAATTTTGCTTTTCTAACCTATCACCTTTACTTACTTCCACTTTTATCCCATGGGCTGCTATCCCACATACACACATGTGATTCTATTTTAACATCTAAACTCTTAATTTACTCTATACAATTACACCCCTACATTATAAACCCTTCACCACCTTATCAATACAATTCCTCACTTACTTAAAGCATATTCTTACTTACAACTATAGGAACGTGTTTATGATTTTTCTGCTTAACGTCTGTGTATTGTATTTTTACATCAATGCAAGCTTCTTGCAAGGCTGCAGATCAAATCCTCCTGTGTCTGTGGAAGTTTTCACATTTGCATTTCCCACATGAAGCTGTGTTGTAACAGAAAAAGGATGGGTGTGTGACCAGAGATGGTGACACAGAAATCAGCTGTCCCTTGGTGACACAGGCCAGGTGCCACTCCAGGAGCCAGGGGACAGCACAAGGTGACAACTTTCTGCTGATGGCTGACTGGTGGAACCCTGGCTGCTGAGAATTTCAGACTTTCTGTGCTGGCAGGCACTGTCCCCCAAGAGAACACTGTCCCCCAAGAGAACACTGCATTTGACCTGAGGCTGTGGGGAAGGCTTCCAAAATTAACCCAGAAATTAATCACTCATGGCCTGCAGTGCAGGCTACAGAAGAAGAAGGAGAAGAAGAAAGAGAAGAAGAAGAAGAAGAAGAAGAAGAAGAAGAAGAAGAAGAAGAAGAAGAAGAAGAAGAATGATTTTTCTGCTTAACGTCTGTGTATTGTATTTTTACATCAATGCAAGCTTCTTGCAAGGCTGCAGATCAAATCCTCCTGTGTCTGTGGAAGTTTTCACATTTGCATTTCCCACATGAAGCTGTGTTGTAACAGAAAAAGGATGGGTGTGTGACCAGAGATGGTGACACAGAAATCAGCTGTCCCTTGGTGACACAGGCCAGGTGCCACTCCAGGAGCCAGGGGACAGCACAAGGTGACAACTTTCTGCTGATGGCTGACTGGTGGAACCCTGGCTGCTGAGAATTTCAGACTTTCTGTGCTGGCAGGCACTGTCCCCCAAGAGAACACTGCATTTGACCTGAGGCTGTGGGGAAGGCTTCCAAAATTAACCCAGAAATTAATCACTCATGGCCTGCAGTGCAGGCTACAGAAGAAGAAGAAGGAGAAGGAGAAGGAGAAGGAGAAGGAGAAGGAGAAGGAGAAGGAGAAGGAGAAGGAGAAGGAGAAGGAGAAGGAGAAGAAGCAGCCTCCCTCCTAAAACCTCAATCTTGCTTTATATCTATTACTGTCTTCTAAAACCTTCTACTCTAAGTTTTCCCCCCTGTGATATCACACACTTCTGTTCAAACTCCACACCCACAATCTCAGCTCTATCATTCCAGTTTGGAAGCCTTCTCCACGGCCTCAGGTCAATGCAGTGTTCTCTTGGGGGTCAGTGCCTGGCAGCACAGAAAGTCTGAAATTCTCAGCAGCCAGGGCTCCAACAGCTGACTGAGCTGGAGTGAGGTGCAAGACCTCTGCACCTGCAATTCAGCCTGAAATGTTAATAATCCACTTAATCACTTGCTGTGGTTTTTAAACATGGAGTGAAACAGTTTTTTTTCTAATAATCCACTTAATCACTTGCTGTGGTTTTTAAACATAAACTCGCTGGAGTGAAACAGTTACAGACAGAGCTTTAAGAAGCTCACAGCCCCCGGGATGTTGAGCTGCCCCACGTCAACAAACCAAACCTTTTTGCTCAATATTCACATTCCAAGCTTCCAGCAGCGTGCCCAGGGCGCCAAGAAGAGCTGGCTTGTGCCAGTGGCCACAGGAGCAGTGAGTGTCCCCAGTGCTGGGGTCACACCTCAAATCCTGGGTTGTTTTGGGCCCCTCATGATTGGAAGGACATGGAGGGGCTGGAGCGTGTCCAGGGAAGGGAACGGAGCTGGGGAAGGGTCTGGAGCACCAGAGTGATGAGGAAGGTGCTCCCCAGGTGCCCCAGAGGCTTTTCCTCGCTGCCATGCAGGTGCTGGAGGTGCCATCACTGTGTGTTTGGGTTTTGTGCCCCCTTCCCACCACATCAGCCAGGCCTCCACTTGGATCCTGCCCACCAATCCCTCAGGGCTCCCGGGCACTCTGCTCCAGCACCCTGGAAATGAGAGGTGTGGAAGAGGTTTTACAGCCACTTCTGGGAGCCAGAGAGAAGTTTGATCAGAGGATCCATGTTTACCCCTGAAATCATTTTCTACCAAGGTCATTGAGAGAAACCAAGAAAGAAGGAAGGATAAATAAAAGAAACCTGCAACTGTCTATTCCAACAAGCACTTTATTTATCTCCCATGACCAATGAGTAAAGTGTAAACCTATGAGCTTTGAAGAAGGTATAAAAAGCATGCATGCTAGAATAAAAACAGGTTTGAAGCTGTGGCATTCACATTCTCTGAACATTCTCTGAATCCTCTCTCAGGTTTTTTCCTGGAGAAGTACAGAGAGAAGAGAAAGCAATTCTTATCTCTACTTGCTGCTCCTGTCGTTTTTACAAATATGGAATGTGTTAGGAAGTTTGTTTACCTGAAGTAATTTGTCAATCAGATTCTATTCAAGGTTGTTTGGATTCCTTAGCCAGTTGAGTGAAAGCTGTGTCCTGACTGTCTGGAGACAGTCACGAGTTTTCTTCACTATTCTTTGTATAATACAGTATAGTATCTCTTTAGCATAGTTATAATATAGTATTAATGTAAAATAGTATAGTTTAATAAAGCAATTCTTCAGCATTCTGAATGAATGGAGTCAGATGCCACTCATTCCCTTCCTTGGGGGCACCTGATTTCACTAGAGAAGCCTTCTGAAAATGGAATGTGTTGCTTTGTGTTGTCTCTGTCACTCCCCAGCAAACCTGTGCCTTGTGCAGAAATTCCATTTCAACCCTGCACAGGGGCTGTTCAGCCACGGAGGGTTTAATTCCACAGAAGCTGCCTGGATTCAGTCATATCGATCTGACTGCACTTGATTTCATCCAAGTTGTGGACACATCCTCCTCCTGTGAGCTCAGGAGCTGCAGCTCCCTGCAGGGAGTGGCACACAAAAAACCCACAGGCACTGTGGGTTTTTTCCATGACTTTATCCATTTTTTTTTTTGTGGAATTTCCAGGCAGCTATAGCCAAACCAAACAGATAAAGCTGCAGATAAATGCTTGGTCTTTAAATTTCCTAAAAGGAAATTTCCAGGGTGGGGGAAAAGAGAGCATTTAGGGTTTTAGCTGGGCTAAAAACTTGTCAGGGGGAAGATGTGAGGTTGAGAAGAGTGACCTTCCCAAATCCAACATTGTGCAAAGGGAAGCCTTTGCCAGGGATTGTTGGGATACAACCCAAGGGAGACAGGAAAAAAGAGCACAGGAAGGGCTGAACATCCTCTCTTCTTTCTCCCACCTTCAGCACTCACCTGTTTGCCTCCAGGCTGGGCAAGACTGAGGGAAAAATGCTCTGAGCCACTGCCAGGACAGGACATTGCATCCCATAACAGCCTGAGATTCATTATTCTGCTGGAGAAATATCCCATAACAGCCTGGAATTGAATGACCTGCTGGACAAATATCCCATAACAGCCTGGGATTCACTGTCCTGCTGGAGGGACACTCCATAACAACCTGGAATTTGTTGTCCTGCTGGACAGACACTCTATAATGGCCTTGAATTCCCTGTCCTGCTGGATAGACAGCCTAGAATTCATTTTCCTTCTGGAGAGACATCCCATAACAGCCTGGGATTCACTATGCTGCTGCACAGACATCCCATACCAGCCTGGAATTTGTTTTCCTCCTGGACAAACATCCCATACCAGCCTGGAATTCATTTTCCTGCTGGACAGACACCCTATAATAGCCTGGGATTCACTGTCCTACTGGAGAGACATCCCATAACAGCCTGGAATTCCCTGTCCTGCTGGACAGACAGCCTGGAATTAATTTTCCTGCTGGAGAGACATCCCATACCAGCCTGGAATTTGTTTTCCTGCTGGACAAACATCCCATAACAGCCTGGAATTCCCTGTCCTGCTGGACAGACAGCCTGGAATTAATTTTCCTGCTGGAGAGACATCCCATACCAGCCTGGAATTCATTTTCCTGCTGGACAAACGTCCCATACCAGCCTGGCCTTAATTTTCCTGCTGGAGAGACATCCCATACCAGCCTGGCATTCGTTGTCCTGCTGGAGAGAGGCGTGGGCAGAGCAGGACAGGGAAATTCCAGCCTGGCACAGCCCCACTCCACAGATTTCCCCTCTCAGGCCCAGCCCAAAGCCCTGCAGGATGTTGTGGTGTGAGCAGCAGCAAGGGCAGGAGTTTGTGGTGCAGAAAACAAAGCCCTGGGGCCGTGCTTGGAGCAGGAGCCTTGGAAGTAGGTGGGATGGAGATTTAATTCCTGAGTGCAGCCCTTGAGTGACTCCCTGCCTGCAAATCCAGGACCTGTTGATGTGCACCACAAACCGCAATGACTGGGAATGAAATGATCTCGAAATTTCATTTTATGGCTGATATTTTAGAGGGAAAATCCACAGTCACAGATGGGATGACCCCGTAAGCTGCAAGGGAGGGTGCTGTTGATCCTGTGGGACACAGACAGGCACCAGCTCAGCCTCCAAATGCTCTGCACTGAGCTCACTCAGCAGCAAAACACGGCGCGGACAGAACAATAATTAGGGTTATTATTAGGGTTGGAATAAAGAATCATTAGGGTTGGAAAACGTCTCCAAGGATGGGGGGAAGACAGAGAAATCTCCCAGGAAGGAAAGTGCTGTTTGGTCCCTGTTTGGAATGGGGATGCTCCCATTTAAAACAAGCAAACTTTTTCTTTAAGCAAAAATCCCAAAGGCAATTTTGAAATTTCTTTTTGTTTTAACCCTCTGGGACTGGGGTTTTTTTGGGTTTTTTTTTTTTGGGTTTTTTTTGGTTTTTTTTTTGTATTTTTTTTTCCTTTTTTTTTTTTTTCCACACAGGAAACAATTTAAAGGAATAGTTTCATTTCAGGTTTCATTTCCAGCACCCAAAACAACAATATTTTTCATGGCTAAACACAATATTTCAAAGAATCTCGTTATCTTTACAGGGAATTTGCTTTTATCAGAATACTTTTTTTTCTGTCAAAACCTCCCTTTAGTGAAATCAAATCAATCAGTGGGATCCTTTGGGCGGGATTGGGTTTGAGCTGAATTCCAGTTTGCTTTGAGGAACGTGCCCTCCTGTGGGTAGCAGAGACAGCTGCAGCAAGCTGGGAGAAAAGAGAAGCAAGAGAAAAATCAAACTTCTCTTTCTTTACAATTTTTGAAATAAATCCCCTTCCCCAGCCCCTGGTTCTGTGTGAGAGGAGCGAGATCTGGCTCATGAACAGGCTGGAAAAAACAAATTAAAATTCATCCCAGTGATCAGCTTGGCACAAGAGGCGGCAGAAAATTAAAAACAAATTAAAAATAATTAAAAATAATTAAAAATAAAAGTGCTGTGGTGATTCTGCCTGACCCTCGTGGGCTGCAGCGCTTCCCAAAGGTGTTGTGGTGAGCATTATCAGTAATTTCAAGCATTATCAATAATTTCAAGCATTATCAATAATTTCAAGCATTATCAAGTGTTCAGAACTGGCTGTGGCACCTGGGGCCAGGGTTTCACTCAGGAATT